CCTCTTGCGCACCGGTTGACTGCGGGTGGCAACTGAGCTATGTGTTAAAATTGAAAATTCAGATCCACATGTAGTCCTAAAAACTACGATTAATGTATATTGCGATTGCATAAAACACTTCAATTGTTGTGTGAAGCTTACGGCAAGTGGCATGCCCCCAAAGACATAGGCAGCCCTACGAAAAGTGGCGGGTCAGCAATTTGAATTTGTTTTAGAAAACTTGATAGGCCTCTTTCTAAAATGATTTGTTCCTTGCTGTGCCTGACCCAATTCTGTATAGCTTAAACAATTTTTCGTTCTTAGTGGCAGCTGTTGCATCACAATTTTCAAATTTCCATTTTCAAATTAACGAGCGAAAAAAAAAACACACTTTTTACACTTAATAAAACGTCCGTACCCGAACCCAAAAACCCAACCCCATAACTACTTATTTGCAGGCCCAGTTCCAGTCCGGGTGGTTGCTTGGTGGGTGGTGTGGTGCGGCCTTCGGCTCGGTTCGGACTCTGCCGCTGCTCTCGCATTGCTGTGCGCCTAATTAAAACTCATTACCATAAGCATAAAGTAAAGCAAGGCACATTTCAGAAAATGCTAAAAAAAAAGCAAGCGGAAATTGAAGTCAAATTAAGCAAGCAGCCCGAAGGCAAAAAAAAAAAAGACGAAAACTGGGATGGGAAATTTTATAGACAAACTCGCAGATTGTTTAACCTTTTGAGCCATGTCTTGGCCTGATGTTTGCGTCTGGGGAGAAGTTCAGTTAATGCAATTTCCTTGCCAGACGGTGGGGTCGCCGGCTGCTTTGGGGGTTAGCTGGCGTATCAACCATTTTGTTTGCACGCCGCACTATCAACTACCCCAGCCCAATCGCAACCCATCCCCCAGCTCCACAATCTCACAACGCCGGAAAGTGCAACCCTATTGAAAGTGAAAGCTTTGCTTCATACGTGCAACGACCCCTTTCGATGGCTGGCGCTCTCTCGGATAGCATGCGCTCTCTCACTCTCTCGCCCTCTCTCTGCATTTCTGTCCTCTCCTAATCTCTCACTGTCTGGCTATTCATTTCCCTTTTGCACAATGCAACAGTTGCCGCCAGCTGACGTTTGCTGGGCGCCTGTTAAAGTTGCCGCGTCGCATTTTTGTGCCAATCCAAAAAGGACGAAGCGATGAGTGACTTTTGCTAGTGTGCTCTCTCTTTCTGTCCCGCTCTATCTCTTTCACTGTTTGTCCTGCTCTGCATTATAGTGCCCATTGAAACTCAACTCAAAAGTTAAGTTTGGTCGAAATCTCTGGACAGGGTACGGGGAAATTCTGGTTTCCTTTTTTCTTGGGGTGGTGGCTCTTTTAGTTTTGGCGTCTGCTTTTGTCTCGCTACATGTGCAATGTTATTGTTGTTGTTGCTTTTGTTTTTGTTTGCTGGTCTTTCCACTCGCAAACTGTTTTCAAATGTTGCCCGTTTGCGCTTTTATCTCCAAGTGGAGTGCCAAGAGTGAGATAGGGAGAGTATAATTTGAAAAGGTTGAATGGGAAAACTTTGCCAGGATGGAAATGGAGCATTTGGAAAGGGATTTCTACAAACTTTTTCCACCAAAAAAATACTTTTCTATGAACTGAAAACAGAATGTTACAAATATTAAATTTGCTTTAGATCAGATTTACGTACGATCCGATCCGAAAGGCAAGATTATTTTGATAATATCGAGTGAAAATATAATTATACAATAATTATACAATAACAATATTGTATTATTATATATTGTGGAATATATAATATTAATTTTTATTATAATAATTATAATTTTTATTTTTGACGAAACCTCGATGTTCAATCGAATTATCTAGCTAATTATTATAGAAATTACAATACAGATAGTAAATTTATAAAAATGTTTATATATATATGTATATAATAATTTCTAAACTCAGTCCTCCCATTGTCCCATTGTTTTGATTGAACTTTGGGGTCAAGGCGAGACTGAGTGTCTGCTAAGGGCTGCTTTATATTTTCGAGGGGGTTGTGTGCCAAAAATATCATTTCTCTGGCACAGCCTCAAACTTAATGCCAACAGGGGAGTAACAGAAGACACCTGCTAGACACTCTGACCGCCCAGCAAAGTCTCTCCCCTCGCTGTTATCTATGCGAGAAGCGTTGCCAAACTTTCGCACCCTTTTAACATTGTGTTGCTAGATTCGTTGGTCGCCTTAGGGGTGGCTGCCGTGTCCCATGGTCGCCGCAGGAGTCGTTTGTTGATCGTTACAGTAAATCATTTGAAATGAATTTCGCTCCGCTGCTTTCACTTTGGACTGACGAAGCGAGCACGGTGCGCACCCCGGCAACTAAATAAATAGCGTGTGTTGAGCCAAAAGCAACAGCAACAACAGCAACAACAACAACATATGACCCAGGTCTAGCCTGTTTAAGCCAGGGGTGGGTGGTGTTATGCTTGGCCTGGGTGGTGGCATGGCGTTAGAGAAATTGCTTTGCCAGCTTACTTTTTATCAAGCGCAAGCTGGAGTTTTCTATTAGGCAACAGGGTGCTTTAGCGACGAGTCAGCTAAAAGCCACAAACAAAAAACGAAGAGAAAAATGCCATATCGGTAATTTAAGGTCATTTATTATGTTCATGACACCTTCCTGCCGCCGCCTCATGGCCACATTTGCTATGCATGTGCTCTTCTATTGTTGTCTGTGTAGAAATTATGCGGCAATTCATAAAAAATGGCAAACGGCCCGTCATTACTTTAAGACCAAAATGTTATTTTAACATCGATTTCAGCAACGATTTATCGATCCTAAGTGGAATGTGTGTGGTTAGGTTTATGGCAAATATTTCGTGTAGACAGTTAATGGTGTGAGTTTTCCGCCTTTACTTGCAGCTGGTATCAGATAAAGGATTCGCTTCTCTGCCAGCTTTAGGCACCATTTAGTTTAATCAAGTCCTAGGCACTCCATCAGCCACAATTCAATTAACTTGGATACCAAATGCAAAGACAGCTTCACATTATCCATGCCAGTCACAGACGCTGTCAGACAGTTAATGGAAATCCTCAACGGCCGCAATTGCTGCCGTTGGTAACGAGCCAATTTAGATAAGCAAAGGCAAAGGCATCGCCTGACTCCGACTCGGTGTTGCCCCAATGCTACACTTAATTCATATCTTGTGCAACATAACAATTAGTTCAGACCATAAAACCCGACAGAGCCTCACCTCCAAAAAAAGAACGCCACCATGTTGGCAGCGGAACGCATCTGAACACAACTTTGTTTACAAGATGTGCACGAAAGTATTGTAGCTAAATTTATATTGGAAATAAACAAAATACACAAAATACAAAACACACTCCTCTATTCCATTCTCTATGCACTGTGCATGGAGATGATGCATTTAACTGGGCAGCAAAAATTTATGAGCACCGACCAAGTCAAGTGTGCAGCTACAGAAACAGCTAATGAAACAGCTAGCAGTATATACCTAGTATATATAGAAATTAGTATGTCTTCGTGCTGCCGAATGTAAAATACCCTTTCCGACAAATGAATTATTTGCAGGTTACATTTCTTACAAGTAATCAAGTGCATCTGATAAGCTAGAGTTATTTAATTAAATTTCTTTTGGCAACCAGCTGAGCCGAAAGTGTGCTCTAATGCATTACACCTTTTGCATACTCTTCAGCAAAGGGTATAAGAAAAACGATATTCTAAATCAACATGTTTGCTTTCAATTAGTGTTAAACTTTTGGACTGTATGCAGCGTCCGTCTCTATCCATTCATGAGAATTGTCTAAATAAACAAAAGTTCAGGCTATAAAACTCCGAAAAAAATGCCAGACTTTGCTGTTTGTGGGTCGAAGGGGGCACAATTGAAAATGATTATTTCGGTATATGGAACTAATGCATACTATGTATTTATCGACTTCGAATAGTTTTCTCCTCAACTACCTGAACGTGTTAAATGTTTGCGTAAATATGCCCGGAAAAGCATCTAGAATCATGGCAACTTATTCAGGCCTCAATGAGGTCTGCCACGCCCGTATCCGTGGGTTCGGGTTACGCTTACGGTTACTCGCCGCTTTGACGGTAGCAAACGCATCGTTTACTTTTCTGCTGAATGAACAAAATGCCAAGCGGCCTCTGGAGTGGCACGCAGTTAGCTGGTTTTGCTGGCCAGCCTTTGGTTTCTGGGTTTTTGGTTACCATGTCAAGTGCCAGTGGCGACGACTACTTCGACTACAACGGCTGTGGCAGGTTCCAGTTCTCGGAATCTTGATGAGCTGCCGATGTTTGTTATGCCTTCTGGTTAGTTTAGTGACCGGCAAACAAATGAAATGCATCCAACAGTTGTTGTTCTCTAATGTTCAAACAAATAAAACGCTAGGAATTCAGTGCTTCGAAATATTTGTGTCCACTGATGCGGGCCCTAATCAACAAACAGAACGGACAGAAGCTGCTTTATGGTGGTCCCAATATGGTTCAAGTTGATGCATTACAAAACCAGTCCGCTATGCTGTCTATTTAAGTATTTGGGTTTAATTATGACAATTGACTTTAGTCATATTTTAAGTATACATGTTAAGATTAAGATGGCCGTTTGTTTAGTTGATAAAGGGCAAGGCTCTTTCACAAAGGTAGTTGCTGCACCTCAAGCACAAAGAAAATGGACTGTAATATGATTTTTCGCTGATTCACACTTGCAATTCTCAACCAATTCAAACTTCGCAATGAGGAAAAGGCGTTTGCAATCCTAGATACGATTCCAAAGTCTGCTGAAGATATTGCGAGGTACTTTAATTTTATTTATTGTTGATTATTAGTTTTTATTTGTTCTTTATTTAGTTTTAGTTTTCTTTATAAAGCGACCCATGACCGATGATCTAACCTTAACCCTAATCTGATCATGTCTAAAAACTATTTGACATGAGAAACATTATAATATATTTAATTTTAATTCTGTGAGTGCAGTTCACTTTAGGCAAATACTTATTCGTCTTTTATTTTGGTTTTACAGAACGCGTGCTACGCTACTGTGAATCGCCCTCGGTGGGCACATGCTGCACCTACAACATGGAGTCTCGCATGGCGGTGCAATCCCGCCAACAGTTGGAATGGCACACCAAGGAGCAGATAACCAAAATGTCTGGTCTGCTGGGCGGCAAGGCAACCAAATTTAATGGTAAGTCAGCCGCAAACTAACAAGAAATATCCCTCAACAGCCACTTGAAGCCATCAGCTAAAACCGATTCTAATTGCATGTAGACAGCTCACAGATTATAGATCACAGTTCACAGATTTGTAACTATTTGTGGGGTGTCAAGTGGTCTAGTTCGATGCTATTGATCATGCCTGGTTCGGGTTACATAGAAGACACAAGAGCAGAGACGGACAGAGAAAGAGAGTAGGGGAGAGGGAGAGGAAGAGATGTGGCAGGCGACAATGCGGATGTTGAGATTTATTTTGTGCAGCGGATGCAGCAGCAGCCGCAGCGGCAGCGGTTGCCACAAATATTTAAGAATAGTACCACGAAACATTTAGTCGGATAGCGGATGTGGCCCATTTCAATAAAACAGAAGCAGACAAACGCCAAAGAATTTTCCTTAATTTTCTTCTAATGTATCTCTTCTTGTATCACTATCTCTCTGCAGATATTTTTCGCAAGTTGCTGCTGGATTCGAAAGCCCAGTTCAATATGATGTTCACGCGCACATATGGCGTTATCTATCAGCAGCATTCGTATGTCTTTTCGGATCTGTTCAACGAACTGGAGAACTACTATTCCCGCGGACGGGTGGATCTATTGGACGTGATGGACAAGTTCTTTAGCACGCTCTACCAAAAGATGTTCACTGTGCTCAATGCGCAGTATGCCTTTGACGAAAAGTGAGTACCTACATTCATGCATAATAGTAATCGAATACCTCCTCCTCCCCCCGTCCTCAACCCCTCGACGTCTGACAGATTTGGAGCTACAGACGTGTGAAACCGCAAAGTGTCGAGCGTCAACGGTTGACTGCCTGACTGGCTGACTGAGTCAAGCCAAAGACTGTTGAAAGCTTTGACGAATCTTTGACGTTGACTGGATGGATGCCTGCTGAATTGAATTGCCTGCCTTACTGACTCTTCTGGTGTGCAATTTCAGCTCTCAGTCTATGGGCTGAATTGCCCTTTTGTTTTATTGTTGTCGCTTGCCTGCGGTTGAAACGCTTAACTAGGAAATGCGCGAATTCGGTACCTAAAATAACGAAGACAAAGTACTCTATCAGTGCAGTTAAAAGATTAGCTTATCCACTAATTAAATTGGCTTAGAACCAGAAAAAAGTTCAAAAGAAAAACTTCACTTAAAATCTATTATTGAAAGCTTACTTTTCTCTCTTTTGGTATTTGAGTTTGATTTCCGAGTACATCATCTAAACCTTACTATTTTTTCTGTCTTCCGTCTTCTTGGGGGTTCGATCTAAATAAACTTGTGAAGTAGTAAAAGTAATTACTGGAGTTCATCCCAAGCAAAATAGAGAGAAGGTGTACTATCCACGCACACATGAAAAAATAACTTTTAGTGGGATATTTAATAATTAACATCTTGGAGGCATCCCACACAGAATCAACTCGACCAGCTAATCAAGCATCTGCAGTTTCATACATCTATTTATTTGTGTGCTACCAACGTAATCGTAATGTGGATGTACTCCCACTACAAATAATTTGTGTGTGTTCCCACTTGGAGGCAATTCCTGCGCCAGCTGCTCGCATTTCCTACGGCACGCTAAATTGCGCCCACTTGGCTCATTGCCCTGGACCCGTTCCTTGTGTCGGCTTGGCGAATTGTTCTGCGTGCCTGGCCAAATGGCTGTAGCTTCAGGTTCAGCTACAGCGCCCCATCCTTGGCTCGGCTCGTGTTACCCACGCGCTTTCCAATTGCTGCCGCCGCTCTCTGCGATTCGTTTTTATTGTCATCGCTTCAGTTTGTCGTACGTGCTTTAGCACATTGTCCGTTTATTGCCATGGACAACGACGACGTCGCGTAATTGCTGGCACTTGCTGCTTGTTATTTGTTGTTTGCTGTATGCAGTTGGTCGGCGCGTCGCCAATGCGCCGCCCAGAGCCCAGGCCGGAGTTCACAGTTCGAACAACGAGTATGCTGCACTTAATGTAGGGGTTGCTTTACCAGCTGACATGGGCTGTGAGCGAATGGGTGCTGAACGCCCTTGAGGCGTAGACTTTTTGATATGTGTGCTAGGGAGACATAAAATCGCTTTGAAAGTCAACAAATAATAATACAGAACTTGCTGCAGTGGACTGATTTGGATAATATAATCTGGTCGGGGAAACTTTGGCACTTGGCATATCAATCCATTCTGGAGCACCACTTGATAAGCTGACTTTCAATGTAGCTCTTACAATAGCCTTCTCTCTAAGCGCACTCTTTCAGTAATTTCTAAAAATTGTATGTTGGCGAAAAGGTTGGCGATTTGCGAAGTCAGCGCCTTGGGCAGCTGACGCCTCTGGCGTCCAGTCGCCTGTTGAGCAACTGCCGGGGCGGGGGCAAACAGACAGCTGCAATTCGTGGCAGCCATACAAGTGCAGCAGCTGTCATGGCTCGTGGCCAGGAGGTGCAGCGTGCAACATGCAGCACATGGCGAGCAGTGGAGCAGTCAGTCAGCCAACTTTTTATTCTTTATATTATTCTTTCCACATAAGAATCTGCGTAGACAAAGGCAGAAATCGAGGAGGTGGAAACTGCAGGGCGTTCAGCTCTTGCCATTTACATGGGCAGATTTCCGCTCAACGCCAATGAAAATATTTTGCTAACATTTTTTTTTTTTATTCTTTTCCACACGTATTCCAGATACATGCGCTGCGTCAGCGAGCACATGAAGGAACTGAAGCCATTCGGCGATGTGCCCGACAAGCTCTCAGTTCAAATCAAACGATCCTTTGTGGCCACACGCACCTACGGCCAGGCACTGGCCACCGCCGCTGAGGTCTCCAAAAGAATATTAACCGTAAGTAAATGAGATATTGTCAAAACTATATTCGATTAATACCAACTCGGTATTTCCTTGTATTCAGATTCGACTCAATCCGGACTGCACGGGCGCGCTGACCAAAATGCAACACTGCGGCGCCTGCAAGGGCTACACGGAAAAGCCCTGCACCAACTACTGCGTAAATGTGATCAAGGGCTGTTTACATTACCTGCACGAGTTCGATACCGAGTGGGAGAACTTTGCCCTGGCCATGGACAAGGTGGCCGAACGCATGCTCGGCTCATTCAACATTGTGATGGTTGTGGAGCCCATAAACATCAAAATCTCCGAGGCCATCATGAATTTCCAGGTGTGTGTGCTCCTCTTCCTCAATTATGCTAAACAGGTTATAGTAGAGTATGTAAAAAACAGAAGGATATAGTTCGGATATGGCCAATCGGGAAGACATTGTTATGTTAACTATAAGGCATTATCTGGCTTTGCCCGGCCAAGCGTTTGTCTCACAAAGTCCAATCATCTTTGGCAATGAGTTTGACCTGACTTATAGGGTATCATTTTAGTTGAGTATTTCCGCATAACCTTTGCTTGTTTTGAACTTAACTCGTTTGGCAAACAGCTGCTGATTTTTTTTATTATATTTTATGGCCATTGATTTCAGTTTATAAATTATCTCATAAAGCTGTCCGTGTAGCTTATGACGGGATGGCCCATGCTCATTTGAATAGCTGACTGACCCGATCCCAAAGAATAAGTATGGGAAAACCGCTTAATATTGGCAGATGTCGCGAATTTCTAAATCGAATTTCGTTAGTTATTCAAGAATAACATTTCTTCGATTTGATTGTCTCATCTTTCTACTTATTAATTTGTCCACTCTACATCGTCCGATGTCGTTTTCTAGTTATGATTCAATAATCTCAAGCTCCTATTGTACATTGCCATTCAACAATTATTATGCATAAGATGCCAGAAATATTTACATATGAATAATGCTCATAAGTTATTGAATTTTGATTACTGCAATATTTCAAGGCCCCGTTTGCCCTCGCCAACCCATTTTTATATCCCCCCGCCCGGTGCCATTTTTCTTTTTCTGATTCTTGTGTTTTGTTTGCCATTTTAACGATTTATTTGCACAACATTTGGTTCCCATATGAATTTAATTTATATTTCCATTTAAAATTTATACATTTCTACTTTGTTTGTTGTTTGTTCTATGTGAGTGTGTGTGTGTGTGTCTTACTTTGTTGTTGTTGTTGTTGTTGCTGTTGTTTTTGCTGACTCTGTTGTTATTGTAGTGCGGCGTTCAGCTTTTAATGTGTTTATTTTGTGTTTTTTCTTTGTGTCGGCCTCATAAAAGGCCAAACGGCGCAAGCAAAATAGTTTCTAATTTAATTCTTATTAGTTTTTTCTTTAAGATTTCGTCGTTTATTTTTAGCAAATCAGAGATTACAAACAGCTCTTAATTCACCGATTACAGTTAGCTGTGCTTAATAGTTGGGATAGGCCCAAAGCGGCGTGTTGACGGACTCTTAGATAAGCGCTACTTAGATACTAAACCTAACCCCAGCTCGACCCTTAACTGTAAATAGTAGTCGAAACTGTTTGTCGACTCCATGCTTAACTTGAAGTAGTCGTCGTGTCAACAATTTCCTTACCGCCTCCAGATAAAACCTTGCCGATAAGGCCGCACCGGCCCAGGCAGCCTTACAATTAACCGACGGTCTCACGGCTTGCAGGAGTAGTAAATCAAACATATATGTAGCTTATCTTTGTGTAATATACAACTATAAATATCTGTTGGTATGCCGCGACTATGCAGTTGTACAATGCGCTCCTAACAAGCCCTTAGATCTTCCGCACTCCAATTGAAAATTAAGTCAGATCGTGCATTTGGAGAAAATGCTTATAGAGCTGCGATTATATATGTTAGAGGATGAGCTTGTTGTTACACACATTTTCCCAATACCTTCAACGAACTGTTTGTAAAGTTTAAAGTATATATAAACACCCTCATGTGTAGGCAAAGAGAATATTGAAGCTCTGAGTTTTGTGAAAATTTCTTAAAAGCAAAAAGAATGGTTTTCCATATTATCCAAAATTAATTTTCATACGAGAACTTGGTCTTCGACCGCTAATTCCTATGACATCTAAATGGTATAGTTGGAGCTTGGTGAATCTTATAAATGCTGAAAAATATGCCACACCCAGTTGTGCGTCCACAAATCCCATTAATCCATATGTACTAATAGCAGTTTGAGAGTCACTGCCTTGGGTTACACGTTTAGAGTCACCAACCCCGAAATCAAACAGGATATTCTCTTTTTTCAGGTTGTTGCATGGGGTTCCTTCTAATATATAGCTTTCGACTATTCAACTCAATGTATCGCAATTTCTAACACAACGCCCTGTTCATTTTCCCAGGACTCCGGTCAGGACATCACCAATCGGGTGTTCCAGGGCTGTGGCAAACCCACATTAGGACGAACCAAGCGCTCCATTAATCCCAAACTTCTGCTGGCACCTTCTGCTGCCGCTGTGCAGGAACTGCGTGCAGATAGCGCGCCGGAAACGGACACACTCGACATTGATGCCACTTTGGATGAGGCAATTGTGCTGCGCGAGCGACGTGCCGCCGAGCCGGGCTCACAAGAGTCGTCGGCACAGCAGTCGCAGGAGCAGGGCGTGCCCATGAATGGCAATGGAGGCGGCAACAAGCGCCAGCAGCAGCGCCGTAAACAGCAGCAGCAGCGACGGAAGCAGCAGCAGCAGCAGAACAATCGCAACGACAATGACAACGACGATGGCGACAGCAATGGCGGCAACAGGGATCCTATTCTTGACAAGGTTGTGCGCGATATACGCCAGCGTGTGAAGGACTACAAGAAGTTCTGGTCAAACCTGCCGATTTCGATATGCAGCAATGAGGACATTGCCGCCTCGTCCGATGTGGATGGCATGTGCTGGAATGGACACACGATAGACAGGTAAGACTTGCGAGCTCCTCCGACTGCACACATTACTGATTGCCATCACCCATTAGATATATGCACGCAGTGACCACGGAGCATGGCTCGAATCCCGAATTTAGCGGTAATCCAGCGAGCACGCGCCAAACTGCACAGATGTCCACGCAGCTGTTCCATTTGAAGAATGCAATCACCCATTTGCGCAATGCCTACAACGGCCAGGATGTGGACTGGAGCGAGCATGGTAAGTGAACCGTGTGAAGTTGAGATTTTAGTTGCTAATGAATTTCTGAATTGCAGAGGAACCCTATGTGGGCAGCGGCGCTGGCTCCGGTTCGGGCTCCGAGGATGATGAAGACGATGACGAGGGCTCTGGCTTGGGTCCGTTTGAGCCCAGCCACAAGCCGGACGTGGAGCATCCGTCGGTGCATGTAGACTCTGATAACGATGATGATGAGGATACAAATCCGTCCGTTACCACCCACACCTCGCGTCCCAATGTGGATGACAAGAATCCGCTGGTGCATACCACGCACGTGACCCACGATCATAATGATCTGGATGAGCCTAGCAATGGCGACGACGATGAGGATGATGACACCGCCCACAACTCCTCAACAGACGGCGCCACGCGCACCTCCAATGCACCGGAGAAGATGACGCTGCGTCGGGCTCTGGTCGTCTATTTGCTGCCTCTTTATATGGCGTGGTTCGGTGGCGTCTGCGCCGATTTGCTGTGATTATTTAAAACGCTGCCCCCAACGAAAGCGAAGCGAGCAAGCGAACAAGTGCAGCTGAGGTGGAATATATCACGCCCCATGTCCGCTGCACGCCCACACCTCTCAGTCATTCATCCATGAAACAAAAATGTTATTAGAACTTCTTTTATACGAAATGCCAGTCCAAAATTTTATAAAAACTTTTGTCAAAGCAATGAAAAAGCAATGAGAAAAAAAAGAGACCCCCAGTTATGGACAGCCCTTTCAAAACGCAACAATTCGAAATCAAATCAAATCAATCCAATATCGGGATACATCGAATATTGGAATCGACTTCAGAATTGCGAGCTTTGGAAACTGTTGCCCATCACTGTATAAAGAAAAGGAATACGTAACGAGTCCTCCCCCCATTTAGATGATTTAAGTCCAGTAACCTAAGTCGTAAGTGCGAAATTCTAATCTGTAAGCGTATGAATGCGTGTATGAGTATGTTTGAATGTGTTTTTTGAGTGCCTGTGTGTGAGTGCCTGTTCATTGTGATCGTTTAGCAAAAATTAACTATAAACATTATAGAACGTATACTAAGCGAAACTTATATTTGTATTATATTTATACATATTCTATATATAAATATGTATACAAACATGCATATACGTAAAAGTTGCCAGCATATTTAAACCATTTAAATTAACAAAAAAAAAACAACAACAAGCATTAGCAGCAATAACTAATTTCTAACTGTACTGAACTGTAATCTAGTATCTTAGTTGACGTTTCCTCGTTTTAAAATCGATAATCAGATGCGTCGAAGCCCCAAGCTCTTTTGTAGTGGGCTATCCAGCAAAAATATGTTATACAATATTATATTATGACGATTATGTAATATAATATTATATATATAAATAAGTTCTAAAGCCCTTGGACGCATCAAAAAAAAAAAACAAAAAAAAAAGCAAATCGGTTTTCAAGCAATGGCATTTGTAAGCTAAGCAGATAAAGCTTAAATATTTATGTATATTTATTTTTGATTTTTTTATAATTTTTAATAATTGTATTATTTTCATGTGTATGTATTAAAAAGAAATACAACAGTGAAAGAAATGGACTTACTTGATCCTAACTTTGAGGATTTATGCCTGCCAAATTAAAAATAGAGTTTAAATCCGTTTTTTGGCAAAAGGCACATTTTAAATTTAATCTTTAAATATGCTACACTTAATTCACAGACGTGTAAAATATAATTTCTATAAATCGCGAACTCCAAACATTTAAATCGACTGCCTCAAATGAGATATTCAGATTCGGATGATTGAGTTCTGGGAAGACCTGCAAATTAAGTAGCGATAGTTAATAATCAGATTATTTCTTATTCTATATAGATTTATGCACCTTACTCGGGCTGCGTTCAAGGACAGTGTTGTGGAGGTGAAGAGTAAGAGGCGAGGATGCATTCCGCTTCCTTAACACTCTATCAAGGCATGTGGCGCTCAGATCCAAGAACTGTTTGTCCAGCTGGCTACTAGATAAGTTTAGGACCTTTAAAGTCTTGCATGCAGCTACTATGTCCCAGAGCTGTGTGGGTGTGGGCAATGCGCGCATTTTCATCAAATGCAATTCCTCCAATTGCGGCAGTATGGCGCAAATGTTGTACAACTCTTTCGTCTCAATATCGTCATCGTACAGTGCCAGACAACGCAGATTCGACATGCGCGTAATCACATCGCTCACACGTGAGCTGCTCCAGAAGGCATCGTTGAACAGCAGCGATTTCACCTTGAGCGGTCGTAACTTGGCCACCGTTAGAAGCAGCCCCTCGTAATAGTCACGGGTGTAGAAAGCCAGTCGACGGAACCTGGGCAACTGCAGCAAGTTCGGCAGGAAAGCGCCCAGCAAGTGGTGATCGTCTATAACAAGCTCCTCTAGCGTAGCGCATTTAGAGACGGGCAGAACGCCCTCGCCGAGATTAACACTGTAACCATAAAATAGGAGTGTGAGTTTGCGTAATGGCATCGAGCTAAATATCTGCTCAAAGGTTGACGTATCCAACGATTCGCAGCACATCAAATGCAACTCCTCGAGCTTGTCCCAAGTCCATAGATGCCTACCACTGGTGCTGCTCAGCAGCGTCAGTTGGGTCAAATGTGGAAATAGTTCCGTCAGCAACAAGGTCTCCTCGTCGGCCGCTTCTTGGCTGGTAAAGCACATGTCACAGCTGAGGCTAACCAATTTGGGAAATCTATAAGATTTCCACGACTCTAGCAGGGCCATACTGGCTCTTTTCAGTATCAAACGCTGCAGCGATCCACTGGCGAGCTGAACGAACTCCTGCATTTCATTTGGGTGCTGCTCAAAACGGTCCAGAACATCATGGTCTAAGTGTGCCTCCTTTAGGTGCTGCCAGTGATATCGGACAGTGCACTGCAGGCTATTGGAAATTTGCGCCAGCGCCAGTTGATCGCTTAGCTTCACATACTTCAGAATGGTAAGCCAGCAATCTTCGTTGAGTTTGTCAAACATTAACACTTTTATCGATTTAAATACAATTTAACAAAAACAGCTACAAATTGAATGAAACACTGAGAGCCTACTAACAGCAACAAACTATTAGGCGGCTGTTAGCAATCAGCTGTTTGCACTGCTTGCCGTCATGTCAAGTAGTTTGAATCTAATTACTGCTTGCGCTAACAGCTGTTATCACTTAGAAAACCACAAATTATTAATATTGAGAAACCCCTGTGGTTTCCAATACAAGACTTTACTCTCATTTAAATGCAATAAGATAAATCGCCCAGGGAGTTCTTGATGATTAAGAGACATGATTACAAAAAGCTTAGAGCAAAGTTTCACATAGAAAATTTTATGATCTGGTTCTCTTCGTTAACATGAAACTTAAGCCTCGCGTATTTAAATCGAAACATTTGGCAAATCATATTATTGTAAAAATGATCCAGTCTGCTCAAAATATTATCCAATATCACCAACTAGATATGATTATAATTCTGAAAATGTGGTAAGGGGGTGGGGGGGATTTCAATCGGTTATTAAACGGGTAAAGCATCTCTTTGAATTATAACAATCTCGCTGTCGTATATGTAGACTATATCCATCAATCAGACATCATTGAAATGGTCTGGTTTCTGAGCATCAATCTCTTACATAATATGTAATCGATTATAGAGGCACAAACCGAGTTCTTTATAAAGAACTCTATATATTTCTAAACGTTCTTATCAAACTTAGAAATTACGTGCGTGACTATTAACGAATGCGTAATATTTGTTTAAATTTAATCCTAAACAAAGGCAAATTTACCAATCATTTTAATACTAGAGTATAAAAAGGGAACCAAACTGAGTTTTAGTGACATTATAAAAATTCTTTTCGAAGTGTACAGATATGTGTTCCATAATATTGTCCATAATATTCGGTAGCCTATTGCTACAAATAGGGTATTCTTCAATGGAAGGTAATATAGATTGAGATAAAGTGAAGTTTAAAGTTGGTAATTGCAAGATTCCATTTCCATTTTCAAGTTACAAGTACGCACATTAGCCACCAAATTGGTATTGCCAATGGCTTTGATGCGGAAACGGAACCATTCACGAGAATTGGTGATAAATATTACTACATTGAGAAGAAAAACTATGTGAATTGGTTTGAAGCAACTGTTAAGTGTCACCAAATGGGTGGAAATCTGGTCAATTTTCAAAGCTCTGAGGAATTAGAGGCTATTGCCAATGAGTTGAATAGCTCTGAGCGCTATTGGATTGATTTAACAGATCTTATTGAGAAAGCTGTGTTTCGTTCGTTGACAACTGGTCTCGCTAAAGGCGACTATCCTAAATGGAACGATGGCGAGCCCAATAATATGCATAATATAGAACATTGTGTTCATATATTTTTCAGATATGGCAAACTTGTCATAAATGATTACCAATGTACGGGAAATTATTTATTTATTTGCGAATCAAATGCTCCCGTAACAGTTACAATTGTTAATTGGTAAATTTAACAACGATCAGAAAATGTTGAATATGGATGAATGAATGGCAATGAATATATTTACATTAAGCTGCAATATCACAATCAACATAAAAAGCTCGAATGATTGCATACATATTAAAACACATATACTATATTATGACTTTCTGATAAAGTTTGAGTCATTTGTTAAGTATACCTAATGCAGACTGGCTTTTCATAGGCTTGCAATAGGTAAGAAACATTATTTACTTTCAATTACTTATGTCCAGAGTATGATGGTCCACATAAATCTGATAATATGTCTTTACTTTTAATAAATATTGCTTGTTTCCCTACAATTAAAGTTTAGTTCCTCAATAATTAATCGTAGCGAATAATTTGCGAGTTTGTTTTTTATTAGTTCAGAGCTAACCTTTCATTAAAGCAACCTTTTCCAAAAAAAAATTATTGGAAATTGCATTCGTGTCTTCTGTACTGACTGATTCACTCTACTAAGTTTGTAGGGTTGACTATTTGTGCCACCAGTTTAAAGATCGATAAAGCAGTGTGCATATTTATCTGGATAACATTTTCAATATTAACAGGCCAGCAGCTATTCACTCTATTTACCTTGTCTGCAATGTAGGGTTGACTATTTGGGCCACCAGTTTAAAGATCGATAAAGCAATGCATACATAGGTGCATTAAATTTCCAACATTAACAGGCAAGCAGTAATTTTAAGTACGGCGACCGGCTGCTAGATGGCGCTTTAATGCTTTAAATAGTCAAGTACGACCTTTAAAGTTATTTAAAAGCCGAAAATTAGTTGATGCCATCAGATAGATGGAATTGAGATGGTTTTTACATTTTCAGCATGTGAGAACATTTATTATAACGTTGTTTTCTGAGTGGCGAGTTGCTTTGCTAAAATCAGTTTGTAGTAAATAATTTAAAATGTCATGGCATTTGAGTATGAAAGCGTGCTGGGGCTTGCTGCAACGTATTTTGTATCGTTCAGCCATTTAACTAGTCATCTTGTATGTCTAGATAGATTTTCTCGAGATTGTCAGTCACGTCATCAATCTGAGCAACATTATCTGCAGCATCTAGATCTAAATTATCTGTTGCCGCAATATCAATATCATCGTCAAAGGCTTCTTCAGCTCCCACTTCATGGCTGAGGTCTATGTCCAGTTCCTGATCATCAGTGGCACATTTGCCGTTCAGTTGATTCAGCGTGCTCTCCAGCTTATTGGCCCGGTCTAGCAACAAGCCCAAGCGCTTGTCAATTTCACTAAAAATATCCGGCTCCGGCTTGGAGGTTGTGGCCTGTTCCGCATCAACAATATCTTCCTGTTTCTGTTTGTCCCCAGACTCAGCCATTTCGTCTGTATTAGCTGAAGACATTGTTCCAACGAATTTAATATATATTTATATACAGTTGCTCAAGAATAAATTTTAGTTAGGTTGCTAATGTTTTGCGTAAATAAATATATGTCAGACTGGGCATAACAACGAAATTGACTACCCCAAACAATACTACCGCGGCCTACTGGGCTTGCCAGAGAGGAGTTTTATCATTTGGCCAATTAACTCCGTCAGGCAGCGGCAACAACTACACAGACATCAGCTGAGCAGCACCCGAGACGATTCTCTGACGGAACCAATCTCTGGGAGCGATCGACGCATGGCGGCGCCTTTTTTTATTATTTAGTGAGCGCGCGAGCGGCAAACTGTAAACAACAGCTGCTGGCAGCGAGAAAATACGAAAAGCAAGAAAATCACCGCGTCAAAGCCGAAACGAACGAAAATTACAAAAGGTTGCCAACGTCTTTAACGTTGCCGCAAGCTGCTTCTAAGGCCAAGAGACAGACCTGGACCTGGAAGACGTCAGCACATGCTGATGCCAGTAGATGCAGTAGAGTCGTGCACAAATGTATCTTGCGGATGCGCGAATCTTCTTCGCGGCGACAGATTGAAGAATTACGCAAGTGAGTCGAATTACGCAAAGTGTGCAAAAAGCGCAGAGTGAAGTATGAAGTGTGGATATTGACAAATCCCTTCGCTGCAATTGATGATGTGTATCTTTCTCTCAAAGCCAATTACCTGCGATTGGCAAAAAGAGTACCAGAGAGAGAGAGAGAGAGAGAGAGAGAGAGAGAGAAGAAGACCTGTACTGAGTTCTTATCAGTGATATTATCTGTGTCGTGTTCCTCTAAATTTTGCAAAGTCGCAAAACTGTGATTCACATTCTATGAAAATATCAAATGCAAACAAATGGAATAAGTTTACTTAGAGCATGACGAGTATTGTGTTTGTGTCTTCTGCTGCTTCAACCTGCCACTTGGCCAAGTTCACTTTTGACTGTTTCGAGTCTTTTGCTGTTGCTCTTCATGTTTAGTACGAACGTTAGATGTCTCTCCCATAAGTCTCTGTATATTCACAGCTGTTTTAAGGTGAAACCAGTTTCTTACATCAACGTTATTTATTTTTCTTGTTTTTTTGGCCGCATATACACACATACCAAACCGAAAAGTCAAATGTGAACATTTATTAAGTTAGTATATACTGACGACGTGCAACCAGCTCTTTTATATGTGTGTGTGTGTTTGGTTGCAACAAAAGGCGAAAAGGTTGCACAATTAGCTTACCGCGAGTGTACATAATAAATAATGAAGGTTGCGGTACATGAAGTTTGCGATATTCCGGCAAATAAAACAACTTTAATTTGGAACATAAAAATAAAAGCTTTGGTCAGATAAGGAAAACATACGGAGAATTCCGAAAAAAACAGTTTGAAATATTTATTTCTCTTCGGAGTAGCAGTGGAGAGAGCAGTGCCTTAGATATTTGCCCAAGCAGTATTTTTCTTGATAAGCAGTACACTGCTTTGCGTTTTTAAAAAAATCTGTAGGATTTATACATAAAGAGAGAGTCTAGTCGAGAATGCCCCACTGACTATACCCTGTACCTAGATCGAGCTGTGAGACATGATTAAAGCACGCTTTGTTTTTGCGTAACAAAATGAAGGTATGTAGATTAATGATACGAAATTCTCCGAAAAAATAATAAATACCGCAAATCATGTTGCTCCTATATGCAAACAACGTTGTGTAGCGTATTAAATGTTCGGCATTCCGACTGGATTTTGTTCATTTTGCTTGCCAGGGAAACACCTTCAGGTTAACCTACTTCAATATTAATTTTATTCAGTTGTTTTGTATGGTTTTCTTTTATATAAAAGTACAAAATATGCATAGCAATAAGACTATATGTAGAAGTATAACTAAGCTGAAATTGAATACGCGTGCTTAGTAATCCTCGTCACAGAAGCAGCCATCCCGTGAGTTCTCCACAATCCAGTCGAGATATTTGGTGACCCTTGTATAGACACCCGGATAACTTGGTCGCGCGCATCCATTGCCCCAGGAGACGATGCCGATCTGTTCGAAGCGCTTGTCGTCGGGACGCAATCGCACCAGAGGACCACCAGAGTCGCCCTGACAGCTGTCCCGGCCACCAACCCCCGGATAGCCAGAGCACATCATATTCTTGGTGATCATTTTTTGAGTATAGTTCGTTTGGGCCACGCACTCATCGTTATCGAGCACTGGCACCTCCACCTCCTGCAGCAGGCAGGAGGGTTTGCCATCCTCCTTGAGCGTGCCCCAGCCGGTGGCAATGGCGCGCGTGCCCACAAACAAATCGTTGCGCTGCTCCACACGGGGCAAGCAAATGGGTCTGATGAAGCTGGTGATTGGAACGCGATCGTTGAGCCGGAGCAGCGCAATATCATTGTCAAAGTTGGAGAAACTGAACTTCTGACTGAAGGCGCGCAGCACGAAGCGCGTCTCCGGGCGCTCCTTGTCATTGCATCGGTCATGCTCACCAAAGGTCACCTTGATCATGAACCACATGAAGCCCTTGACGCAGTGCGCCGCCGTCAGCACATAGCGATCGTTGATCAGCGTGCCACCGCAGTAGAATCGATTGAAGTAGCTCAGTCTGGCCATCCAGGGATACTCGCTGACGCCAGCTGTAGTGCCCCCAACGATTCTCGACTCATCATTGCGCTCCCCACATCTGCAAAAGTGGCAATAGTGAGCGGGCTTCAGTAATAATTGATTGTCATCCACTTTATCATGCATAACAAGTAAAAGCTTTGCAGTCGGATGCATCCGACCAAGCAATACTCTGTTCACGGTATAACTAACTTAGACGAGATCACGAAAGCATATTCATTTCTAAGCCTCTATTGTATCGGTTCGTATGGACAGACTGACGGAACCACAACCAAAATGTTCTATGAAAGCAGGCGAAATATAGTACATTGCAATTCTGCAAGTGAACATAATTTCCGACCTCGTAAGACTAACATATTCTTGATCTACATCAACAGATATGCCTATATTATTATAATACTTATACTATTTACTATATACTGTATTAAAAACGCTAAATGCATAAAGATAGTATTTTTTTTGAAAACCATAATTAGATCAAGGTTAGAGTCTAGGGGCCGCAGAGTCTATTAAAACTATATAATATACATCGATTAATAATATTTCACTTGTTATATCCCCCCATAACAACATTTTTGAACTATTTCTATGTGTTGTGCCACAACTAAATTCATATAGCTTCAGATTGAACTGCTGCTTTAAATAATTATCCATGACCAGTTTATTGAATGACAATCTTCGCTGATTAGTTCAGAGTTCAACAACCCACAAGCTTAACAATCTTCATTAATAATGTCATAAAGAAAGTGTCAAAGTGTTTTATGAACGTATGCAAACGTTTCGCAGATTTTCCAACATCTTTATAAAGACATCGTTACATTAAACTGGTTTATAATTGCCAAAAACCAAAGAAACTGCATTCAAAAATGCTTCAGAAGCAGAGAGAGAGACAGGGAGAATGAGAGAGAGAGAGAGAGAGAGAGAGAAAGAGAGAGAGAGAGAAACGATTTACAAAGGAAAGCACAACCTGTTCTCTATAGTCTGGTCTTATATACTAAATAATTTTTTTTTTTGGCCACAAATCAATCGACGGCTCACAGAAACAACAACAAAAAAACAGCAATAAGAATCAAACACAGAGAGCTTCGGCTTAATATTTTTTTTGTTGTTAATCGAGTCATTGCCCCAAAAATGGTGGCCAAGGCAAAGTCGAAGGCGTCCCGAAACCAGCAACACGCAAAAACAAAGACAGTAAAATGTGCGACCCAATTCAAAGAATGCGGCGTTCCCCCTGATAAACTGACAATAAAAATATGACGCATTGAGCCCAGCCTAACTACACCTTATAAATAAACCCACACATACGGCTGGTTCCAATACACCAGAATATGAACAGACTTCAGGTACACACACAGATAAAGATATACAGATAAAAATAAAGATAAAGATATGGATACAGACATGGAAACAGAATCCAGATACAGATACAGATACAGATACAGATACAGACATGGAAACAGAATCCAGATACAGATACAGATACAGATACAGATACAGATACAGATACAGATACAGATACAGATACAGATACAGATACAGATACAGATACAGATACAGATACAGATACAGATACAGATACAGATACAGATACAGATACAGATACAGATACAGATACAGATACAGATACAGATACAGATACAGATACAGATACAGATACAGATACAGATACAGATACAGAACAGATACAGATACAGATACAGATACAGATACAGATACAGATACAGATACTGATACAGATACAGATACTGATACAGATACAGATACGATACAGATACAGATACAGATACAGATACTGATACAGATACAGATACAGATACTGATACAGATACAGATACAGATACAGATACAGATACAGATACAGATACAGATACAGATACAGATACAGATACAGATACAGATACAGATACAGATACAGATACAGATACAGATACAGATACAGATACAGATACAGATACAGATACAGATACAGATACAGATACAGATACAGATACAGATACAGATACAGATACAGATACAGATACAGATACAGATACAGATACAGATACAACAGATACAGATACAGATACAGATACAGATACAGATACAGATACAGATACAGATACAGATACAGATACAGATACAGATACAGATACAGATACAGATACAGATACAGATACAGATACAGATACAGATACAGATACAGATACAGATACAGATACAGATAGATACAGATACAGATACAGATACAGATACAGATACAGATACAGATACAGCTACAGATACAGATACAGATACGATACAGACTACAGATACAGATACAATACAGATACGATACAGATACAGATACAGATACAGATACAGATACAGATACAGATACAGATACAGATACAGATACAGATACAGATACAGATACAGATACAGATACAGATACAGATACAGATACAGATACAGATACAGATACAGATACAGATACAGATACAGATACAGATACAGATACAGATACAGATACAGATACAGATACAGATACAGATACAGATACGATACAGATACAGATACAGATACGATACTGATACAGATACAGATACAGATACAGATACAGATACAGATACAGATACAGATACAGATACAGATACAGATACAGATACAGATACAGATACAGATACAGATACAGATACAGATACAGATACAGATACAGATACAGATACAGATACAGATACAGATACAGATACAGATACAGATACAGATACAGATACAGATACAGATAAGATACAGATACAGATACAGATACAGATACAGATACAGATACAGATACAGATACAGCTACAGCTACAGCTACAGCTACAGCTACAGCTACAGCTACAGCTACAGCTACAGCTACAGCTACAGCTACAGCTACAGCTACAGCTACAGCTACAGATACAGATACAGATACAGATACAGATACAGATACAGATACAGATACAGATACAGATACAGATACAGATACAGATACAGATACAGATACAGATACAGATACAGATACAGATACAGATACAGATACAGATACAGATACAGATACAGATACAGATACAGATACAGATACAGATACAGATACAGATACAGATACAGATACAGATACAGATACAGATACAGATACAGATACAGATACAGATCAGATACAGATACAGATACAGATACAGATACAGATACAGATACAGATACAGATACAGATACAGATACAGATACAGATACAGATACAGATACAGATACAGATACAGATACAGATACAGATACAGATACAGATACAGATACAGATACTCAGATACAGATACAGATACAGATACAGATACAGATACAGATACAGATACAGATACAGATACAGATACAGATACAGATACAGATACAGATACAGATACAGATACAGATACAGATACAGATACAGATACAGATACAGATACAGATACAGATACAGATACAGATACAGATACAGATACAGATACAGATACAGATACAGATACAGATACAGATACAGATACAGATACAGATACAGATACAGATACAGATACAGATACAGATACAGATACAGATACAGATACAGATACAGATACAGATACAGATACAGATACAGATACAGATACATAGATACAGATACAGATACAGATACAGATACAGATACAGATACAGATACAGATACAGATACAGATACAGATACAGATACAGATACAGATACAGATACAGATACAGATACAGATACAGATACAGATACAGATACAGATACAGATACAGATACAGATACAGATAGAGATACAGATACAGATACAGATACAGATACAGATACAGATACAGATACAGATTACAGATACAGATACAGATACAGATACAGATACAGATACAGATACAGATACAGATACAGATACAGATACAGATACAGATACAGATACAGATACAGATACAGATACAGATACAGATACAGATACAGATACAGATACAGATACAGATACAGATACAGATACAGATACAGATACAGATACAGATACAGATACAGATACAGATACAGATACAGATACAGATACAGATACAGATACAGATACAGATACAGATACAGATACAGATACAGATACAGATACAGATACAGATACAGATACAGATACAGATACAGATACAGATACAGATACAGATACAGATACAGATACAGATACAGATACAGATACAGATACAGATACAGATACAGATACAGATACAGATACAGATACAGATACAGATACAGATACAGATACAGATACAGATACAGATACAGATACAGATACAGATACAGATACAGATACAGATACAGATACAGATACAGATACAGATACAGATACAGATACAGATACAGATACAGATACAGATACAGATACAGATACAGATACAGATACAGATACAGATACAGATACAGATACAGATACAGATACAGATACAGATACAGATACAGATACAGATACAGATACAGATACAGATACAGATACAGATACAGATACAGATACAGATACAGATACAGATACAGATACAGATACAGATACAGATACAGATACAGATACAGATACAGATACAGATACAGATACAGATACAGATACAGATACAGATACAGATACAGATACAGATACAGATACAGATACAGATACAGATACAGATACAGATACAGATACAGATACAGATACAGATACAGATACAGATACAGATACAGATACAGATACAGATACAGATACAGATACAGATACAGATACAGATACAGATACAGATACAGATACAGATACAGATACAGATACAGATACAGATACAGATACAGATACAGATACAGATACAGATACAGATACAGATACAGATACAGATACAGATACAGATACAGATACAGATACAGATACAATAGATACAGATACAGATACCAGATACAGATACAGATACAGATACAGATACAGATACAGATACAGATACAGATACAGATACAGATACAGATACAGATACAGATACAGATACAGATACAGATACAGATACAGATACAGATACAGATACAGATACAGATACAGATACAGATACAGATACAGATACAGATACAGATACAGATACAGATACAGATACAGATACAGATACAGATACAGATACAGATACAGATACAGATACAGATACAGATACAGATACAGATACAGATACAGATACAGATACAGATACAGATACAGATACAGATACAGATACAGATACAGATACAGATACAGATACAGATACAGATACAGATACAGATACAGATACAGATACAGATACAGATACAGATACAGATACAGATACAGATACAGATACAGATACAGATACAGATACAGATACAGATACAGATACAGATACAGATACAGATACAGATACAGATACAGATACAGATACAGATACAGATACAGATACAGATACAGATACAGATACAGATACAGATACAGATACAGATACAGATACGATACAGATACAGATACAGATACAGATACAGATACAGATACAGATACAGATACAGATACAGATACAGATACAGATACAGATACAGATACAGATACAGATACAGATACAGATACAGATACAGATACAGATACAGATACAGATACAGATACAGATACAGATACAGATACAGATACAGATACAGATACAGATACAGATACAGATACAGATACAGATACAGATACAGATACAGATACAGATACAGATACAGATACAGATACAGATACAGATACAGATACAGATACAGATACAGATACAGATACAGATACAGATACAGATACAGATACAGATACAGATACAGATACAGATACAGATACAGATACAGATACAGATACAGATACAGATACAGATACAGATACAGATACAGATACAGATACAGATACAGATACAGATACAGATACAGATACAGATACAGATACAGATACAGATACAGATACAGATACAGATACAGATACAGATACAGATACAGATACAGTACAGATACAGATACAGATACAGATACAGATACAGATACAGATACAGATACAGATACAGATACAGATACAGATACAGATACAGATACAGATACAGATACAGATACAGATACAGATACAGATACAGATACAGATACAGATACAGATACAGATACAGATACAGATACAGATACAGATACAGATACAGATACAGATACAGATACAGATACAGATACAGATACAGATACAGATACAGATACAGATACAGATACAGATACAGATACAGATACAGATACAGATACAGATACAGATACAGATACAGATACAGATACAGATACAGATACAGATACAGATACAGATACAGATACAGATACAGATACAGATACAGATACAGATACAGATACAGATACAGATACAGATACAGATACAGATACAGATACAGATACAGATACAGATACAGATACAGATACAGATACAGATACAGATACAGATACAGATACAGATACAGATACAGATACAGATACAGATACAGATACAGATACAGATACAGATACAGATACAGATACAGATACAGATACAGATACAGATACAGATACAGATACAGATACAGATACAGATACAGATACAGATACAGATACAGATACAGATACAGATACAGATACAGATACAGATACAGATACAGATACAGATACAGATACAGATACAGATACAGATACAGATACAGATACAGATAGATACAGATACAGATACAGATACAGATACAGATACAGATACAATAGAATACAGATACAAGATACAGATACAGATACAGATACAGATACAGATACAGATACAGATACAGATACAGATACAGATACAGATACAGATACAGATACAGATACAGATACAGATACAGATACAGATACAGATACAGATACAGATACAGATACAGATACAGATACAGATACAGATACAGATACAGATACAGATACAGATACAGATACAGATACAGATACAATACAGATACAGATACAGATACAGATACAGATACAGATACAGATACAGATACAGATACAGATACAGATACAGATACAGATACAGATACAAATACATATACAGATACAGATACAGATACAGATACAGATACAGATACAGATACAGATACAGATACAGATACAGATACAGATACAGATACAGATACAGATACAGATACAGATACAGATACAGATACAGATACAGATACAGATACAGATACAGATACAGATACAGATACAGATACAGATACATATATAGATACAATACAAATGATACAGATACAGATACAGATACAATACAGATACAGATACAGATACAGATACAGATACAGATACAGATACAGATACAGATACCAATCACATACAGATACAGAATACAGATACAGATACAGATACAGATACAGATACAGATACAGATACAGATACAGATACAGATACAGATACAGATACAGATACAGATACAGATACAGATACAGATACAGATACAGATACAGATACAGATACAGATACAGATACAGATACAGATACAGATACAGATACAGATACAGATACAGATACAGATACAGATACAGATACAGATACAGATACAGATACAGATACAGATACAGATACGATACAGATACAGATACAGATACAGATACAGATACAGATACAGATACAGATACAGATACAGATACAGATACAGATACAGATACAGATACAGATACAGATACAGATACAGATACAGATACAGATACATACGATACAGATACAGATACAGATACAGATACAGATACAGATACAGATACAGATACAGATACAGATACAGATACAGATACAGATACAGATACAGATACAGATACAGATACAGATACAGATACAGATACAGATACAGATACAGATACAGATACAGATACAGATACAGATACAGATACAGATACAGATACAGATACAGATACAGATACAGATACAGATACAGATACAGATACAGATACAGATAGATACAGATACAGATACAGATACAGATACAGATACAGATACAGATACAGATACAGATACAGATACAGATACAGATACAGATACAGATACAGATACAGATACAGATACAGATACAGATACAGATACAGATACAGATACAGATACAGATACAGATACAGATACAGATACACAGATACAGATACAGATACAGATACAGATACAGATACAGATACAGATACAGATACAGATACAGATACAGATACAGATACAGATACAGATACAGATACAGATACAGATACAGATACAGATACAGATACAGATACAGATACAGATACAGATACAGATACAGATACAGATACAGATACAGATACAGATACAGATACAGATACAGATACAGATACAGATACAGATACACAGATACATGTACATGTACACAGATACAGGTACACAGATGCAGGTACACAGATACAGGTACACAGATACAGGTACACAGATACAGGTACACAGATACAGGTACACAGATACAGGTACAAGGATACAGGTACAAGGATACAGGTACACATATACAGGTACACAGATACAGGTACAAGGTACACAGATACAGGTAAACAGATACAGGTAAACAGATACAGGTAAACAGATACAGATAAAGGTGAACAGATACAGATACAGATGATAGAGATACAGATACAGATTCAAAACACAAAGCTACGCAGCGACTGTTATCAAAACGTATGCAAATCAGCCCCATTTCATTTGAAATGCAAAAAAAAAGTAAAAATAAAGATAAAATACAAAAGTAAGAACTAAACGGGTTTTAGGCTTTTAAGCCGAAAGTCTTTTAAGCTGCTAAAGAAGAGTTTTTCAACCTGGCCGAGACATGTTCTTCTTCAAACTAAATTTGCTTTTATAAGTAAAAAAGAAGAAGAAAACCTTTCAATAAATTACAACTTACAGTTTAGGGCTAACTGGCATCTGCTCCATTTTCATTCAAATAGAAATAAAAGTGAAAATCGAACACACTCCCGTTGAGATAGAAGAAAAGCCTCGTGCATAGAAACTGACCTAACCTAATTCGATCTAGTCAGCTCTGTTGGAATGCGCATCGAACGAAGCTCGGCTGATCATTAAAATTCCTAAGCAGGGAGTGCCGACAAAAACATTCCTGAGAACTCCCTGAAGTGTCTGTGCTTATGCAAACAGTTTCTACTCCATCAATACCCACGGGTACTTGACAATGCCGAAGGCCCGAGCAACTCCCTATTGGCAATTCAACAGCCACAGGCAATGCAAGTTGTAGAAGGTAGCTCAGGAATGCTTTTCAAATCATCATCATGTTCAGAGTCAAGCACTGAGCAGCTGAGACTGAGTAGCTTAGCCACAAGGCAAACTTAATTTAACTAAGTTCGGATATGTGAAAAATTCTCACCAAGTGTTAAGTGTGATGCGTGAAATTGTTAAGTAATTTTTCTGGAAAACCATAAAAGCATTTTTCTTTAAAAGCCAGAACTTTTCTGTGGTTTTTCCAATAAGAGAGCTAGATACTTTTACTTGACTCACAAACAAATGAATGTCGAACTTTTTATAGGTTCATATGTAAAGAAAGTTAAAGTAAATATCTTTACGGGCTAGATCCAAAAATATTCTAAGTTGTTTATATTTCCTCCTTTTTGGCCACTCTCAGCTAAATTCCTTCAGCATCACGTATGCAACGCATGTGCAACAATGTGGAAAGCTGAACGCCTTCATAAATATTGATAAGAAATGACAGCAAAAATCTCTCTCTTCTTTTTTTGTGGGTCAAAAGATCAAAGTAAATTGATCGCGTGCAGCGTGTGTGTAAATTTATCTGAATGTGTATCTGTAACTGTAAGTGCGATTTGTATGCCGTGACAATGACACCCAATAAAATGCGGTTATTGTGCGGTTGGGTAACTAACTTGGCTAACTGGATGTTGGCTATCATGACCATGACAGCTTTTTGTGTACCCACCTGCAGGAACATGTCGCTGTTTGGTCTTGAGCCGGCGGCGAATTATTACGATTAAAGACGCCAAACCAATTCTTGATAGGATTTTGCCGGAACTGGTTTACTGGCTTATTGCCAGTGGCATCCACGCCGCTGGAGTTGCCAGCAGCTCCGATGCCAGCGCGCAGCTTCTTTGGCTGATGCTGACTGCCATATGCCTGATATTTGCCCGGTATGGAGGATGCTTCGGCTGTTGTTGTACTTCTTGTTGTTGGCGTGCTTGCTGCCGCTGTTGTTGTTGGTGTTGTTGTTCTCAAGCTTGTCGAGGCGGCGACAATGCAGGAAGTGATGGCCAATGCTAATGGCCAGTGATGTAAGTGGAGCAGCAGCATCTTCAACAGGTTGGCCAACGATTTGTTGTCGCTTCCAGGCAATGATAGCTTAATGAGCCAGTTAAACTGTTGCGTCTGTTAGCCTTGTTACCGTTAGAATATTTTCTTTAGATATTTCGTGACTGTTTTTCTTTATTTATTTTATTTTTTTTAATTTTTACACTACACTCATTAATTATGTTAATCACATGCATTCAATTCGTTTTGTATGAACTATTTCTCACATTTCACACTCGTTTAGCGCATAATTCCAACTGTCAACAAGTCGCGCCCAAAATATAAAAGAGTTTCGTTTCTTTCTCTCTTTCTTAATTTTTATTCTATTTATCTTGTAGTCTCTTTTAGTCTTGTTTCTTCGACCGCACACGCGAAAGTCTGCAAAGCGACTGATACCAGCGAACGGCCCGACGAGCTGCTGGCCAAGCCAAAGTTGCGCATGCGCCTGCTGTGCGCTGCGACGTCGCTGTCGCTGTCAGCGTCAGCGTCGACGTAAACGTCAACGTCAACGCCGCTTGACTGGCAAACAACAAAGACAAAGTCGCATTTTTGTTGGCCCGTTGCGTTCTTAATATGCTAATGTGACAGTTTGCCATGGTGTGGCCGCGGCTCCTCTGGGTGAGAGTCTCCCGTGTGTGTGCGTGTGGAGCACTGTCTCTGGGGCTTTTCCTGGCCCTCCGCCTGGGCCTGGGTCTGGGTCTGGGCCTGGGCCTGGCGGCATCAATTTAACGTTTGTTTATTATGCCCACAACGTCAATACACCGTGAGAATTTAAATTAATTTAAATGTTTGTCGCATATGGCAACAGATATTCTTGATAGCCCACTTAATTAGCATTTCCTGAGCTAAGAAATCTTAGAACTAGTAGATTGGAAGGGGTTTTAAAAAGCTTCTCGCTATCCAGTTGACACACATAGAAATATCAAATAATTATAATAATTTAGAGGGTTTTGCAGGGTTTAATTATGCAGCTAATCACACATTTTTCATGCCCAAAAAGTAGTTGGCCTAATTGCAATTATGTAAAAAAATAAAGTCAAAGCACCAGAGCTTGAATCAGTATTAATATTATTCATATATGTTGATTCATATATATTGAGTATATTCTAAATTAGTTACCTCTACGTATTGTATTCTCTGGTGAATAGACAGACATACATGGCTTGATCTATTCAGCAGTTGCGAATCAACAGATCTAGAGTATATCTACACTTCCACAATTTTATAATACCCTTTAGGAAGAAGGTATTAGATCCGATCCCATAGTCTTGGTCAATATTAATAGCCGAGTCGATTGAACCATGTCCATGACTCGACAGTCAGTTGAACGAGTCGAAGTTAGAGACTATAAGAGCCAGAGACTACAAACTTTGAATGTAGATTCTTTTAAGGCCTGCGCAGCTTATCAATAACTCGATGCGATCGATAAAAATAAATATTGAAATACAGTTTCTTGACTATTTATCGTAGCTTTTAAGAGCTATAGACATGAAAGTATAGTGCCATATAGTTTACAAAGATTCAGACTATGTAACCTTTTTAGATACCTTCCCCCAATGCCCCCAAAATGTATTTTGCTATGTACACACTTCTGTATGCCTTATCAAGTCCCTGAAAATTTCATAAAGATCGGAAAACAATCAAGAATGCTAGACCACCCGCAGCAAAAGCTGCTCAGCTTGAAGCGCGCATTCCACTTCTTGTGAAAGGCAGCTCGGGACAAGGTACAGGGTATATCCTATTCGGGTATAGCCAGCTTTAGTAATCCCAGTTGCTTCTTAAAAAGCAGATTATACTTTGGCTCATCCAGTGGGTAGAAAATAAGTATTTTAATATTATTATCGGTATATATATGAAACCTCCTGCTCTTTGCAGTAGTCAGATTAAAGTACTGTCATTATAACAATGACATTCCCTTATAAACTCGTTAACCTTTGTCATCACATAAGGGCCGCAGCATGTGTACTCGCAATTTACTCCTCAAAGCGCTCATTTGTACCTTTTATGTTTTCCGACGCTTTTCACTTGCATGCCAAGGCCCCAAAGGCAAAAAGAAAATACGAAAAAAAAAACAAACAAACCGAGTAAAATTCGCATTTTCATGTTCATTTGCCGCTGCTGACGTTTTTTTCTTTTTGTTTTGTGAGACATGAATTAACAAAATTTTGAACCGGATAATTTAACATTTCGCGTTTAATTGATGAATGGCAGGGGGGCGGGGAATCGAGAGCTGACTGCGGCGACATGAAATGCAAATTACTGTAATATTAATGTTTGATGTTACAGTTTTTGATCTCTCAGTGTCGACAAACATATATAAAAATAAATGAATACTGTTGGGATTACAACCTATTATATCTCATGAAGATCTGTGCCCAGAAAAAATAAGAAAATTTGATTTATTCAAAACTATGATAAAAAGACTAACAATACTGCGAAATAATGGAAAGGTTTTTAATAACTTAATTACTTTTTTATAAATGTGATCTCCTCCTGAAATTTACTTCACAAAGATCGTTAAGAGGCGAATTTCTGTTAAGGCTAATAAAATTCTTTGCTAACTCTTATTCATTGATTAATTATAGACATATATGAGCTCGAAAACCAGCAGATGCATCTTAAGATCGCTTGCATTCATTTCCAGTGTAGATCAAATCTTTACACACCAACTGATTTCGGATTCAGATTATAGCATGTTCTATAGTATGAGTACCCAGGGCATCGGCAGTCTGCCGCATGGCTCATTTCCCCCAACTTTCCATGGCATGTTGAAGGCCCATTCTCTGCCCATTTCCCATTTATCGTAGAGTACTTAGTTATAGTATACGCCATAAAGTCAACAATCCATGTTAAGAACCTGGCGCGCCTATCGAATTTCCTAATTAATTCAGTACATGCAAATTTTCGCCCACTTCTCGTTGCAGACACAAATCCAAAATACTCGTAATTGGTAACTACGCTAGTCGGAAAACTCAGGAGTGCATAAAGCGAATCTCTAGCGGCATCGCCAGCGCCATCAAGTTCAGCAACATGCCAACTGTAAACAACGGCTCAGGCACGACAACAGCCATTGCATAACTGGGAATCAAGAGTATTATCATTATTTACTTCTAACATGAGCGCTGCCTTTCTCGATATGACGGCTGCGCAGTCAACCAGCGTGGCGGCGACCGCCTCCGATGCGAGGCTCAGTGCACGACAGAAGGCGAGCAAGCGACGCAGCCACGGCGGACGCACTGCAGCAACGGCTGCCATACATGGACTTGGCCGCAACAGCATTGCTAGCGTCGGCGCCGGCCTCTATAAATCATTTCGCGAGCGTTTCGGTGGCGGCGGCGGCGGCAGCGACTATCGAGCGCTGCGACAGCGCGACGCAGAAGCGGGCAATATACAGAAAGAGTTGGCCGCAAGTGACAGCTCCGATGAGGAGAGTCTGCAAAGTAGCGGGAGCGACGGCGACAGCAGCAGCGTTGAGGATATATTTACCGCTAAGCCAGAGCGCAGACAGTGGCGCAGAAAGAAGCCAGAGCCCAGGGCGAGAAGAAGCAGAAGGGTAAGTGCGTAAGTCTCGTCTCTTATGTTAGACCCTTGCGGCGGGAAACAGCTTTCCATTTCACAGACATAGCCCTAGTTAAGTATTCCGATCAGTTTGGCGCGTGACTTGCCGGAACTCGTCTACGCTTGTAATTTATGACGCGAATTGGGCTCAAATTGCACGAGCTTGGACTTAATTGAACTTGCTGTACTTTATTTAATTTGCATTCGTTCGCTGCGTTTGATAATTGCATTAATGTTTAACCATTGTTTCATTTAGATACCTTTTCAAATGTGTCATAGTTTATAAATGTTTTTACGCTCTGTTTCAATTGGAGCACATTTCGCTTTCATTTTCTACTGCTGTGTCAATCGTTTTAATAATAAATGTATAGGTCAGTGTGAGAAATATAATAAATACGCCAAAATTTAGCACAGTAATAAAATAGCTACAGCCTAGCCTACAGATTATAGTCAAGTCAAACGGTTTCAAACGGAAGGTTATTCCAGGTCTTGAAGCAGAGTGAAATATACATAGATATATACTTCACATTTGCTATATATATTCTTTTATAGCTTATATTTCTATTCTATCGATTTCAATCAACTTTCGCATGCTTTCACTCCACTGTGCCACGCACCAAAAAAACAGCTGTAGCCGAGCTTTCAACTTGTTTACAAACAAACGTAATGCAAGTAAAAAGCTTTGACACGTGGCATTGAGTCATTGAGTAATAAAAAGACAGCTGACAGCTCTCCCAGGCGAGTCGCTCTCTACACACTCTCTCCCTCTCTCTCTCTCACTCACTTTTGTTCTCTGTGCTTTTGAGCGCTTTGGCCCGCTCTTTATGGCTGTTGTGGCATTGGCCATGGGCAGCAAGACGCCTGCTGGCAGAGTTTTGTGGTCGGGAAACCTTATTGACTTAAATCTCGACCAAACCTGTGCAGCTGCACCATTTTTGGTCTTTCCTATATTTTTTAACATTTTATGCTCCAATGGACTTTAAAAATGTGCGCTGCTTAAAGTTGAGCGCGCGCCCGTTTTGAATTGTATTTCTGTTTTGTTGTTACTTTTTGGCTATGTCTCTTATGGCTGATACTGCTAACTTGGCTTGTTTAGTTTTATTTTTTATTCCCCCGTCTATTTGTCCCATTTTGTTTGTACTCTTCGCTGGTTGGCACCGCTTGACTGCACAAACTCAAATAAGCGGCAACGGCGTTTATCCTAAAATGATATTTCTTTTGGTTCTTTAACAATATTTTTTTTTATTGTTGTTCTGCTGCGGTTATGCGGTTGTGGGAGCTATTCATTCATACAGAAACGTGCACGACGCAGCAGCAGAGACAATTCTTTAATGCCGGAAGTCGTTCTCCTTTTGGCCAAAAAATTGTGCGACACTGTGTCGCCCGAATATGCAATCAACAGACCTAAATCTCTGTCGGGGAACTTGGCTGGCGCACTCGAATGT